TGCTCTGGTGTCGGGGTTTTGTTCTTCTGGTCCTGGTTGTCGGTTGTTGGGTGGATGAGCTTCATGGTCTGCTCTGGTGTCGGGGTTTTGTTCTTCTGGTCCTGGTTGTCGGTTGTTGGGTGGATGAGCTTCATGGTCTGCTCTGGTGTCGGGGTTTTGTTCTTCTGGTCCTGGTTGTCGGTTGTTGGGTGGATGAGCTTCATGGTCTGCTCTGGTGTCGGGGTTTTGTTCTTCTGGTCCTGGTTGTCGGTTGTTGGGTGGATGAGCTTCATGGTCTGCTCTGGTGTCGGGGTTTTGTTCTTCTGGTCCTGGTTGTCGGTTGTTGGGTGGATGAGCTTCATGGTCTGCTCTGGTGTCGGGGTTTTGTTCTTCTGGTCCTGGTTGTCGGTTGTTGGGTGGATGAGCTTCATGGTCTGCTCTGGTGTCGGGGTTTTGTTCTTCTGGTCCTAGTTGTCGGTTGTTGGGTGGATGAGCTTCATGGTCTGCTCTGGTGTCGGGGTTTTGTTCTTCTGGTCCTGGTTGTCGGTTGTTGGGTGGATGAGCTTCATGGTCTGCTCTGGTGCCGGGGTTTTGTTCTTCTGGTCCTGGTTGTCGTTTTGTTATGTTGTAACTAGCTCCTTTTCTGGTGAAGAATGAGTCGGCAGGCTTCTGGAGGGGTCCTTCAGTTGTGGATGCTTGGTTCAGTCAGGGGGGGGGGGTGCATCATGAGCTTTATCTGGTGACGGCTTTATGCCACTACCTTCGGGCCACCAGTTCTGTTTCAGTGGACTCATTGAGGGTTGACTCAGTTTCCCAGGTTTCCTGTTCCAGGGTTCATATTTCTCGGGTTGTCTGCGGTGTTTTTTACAGCTAACTTTTTTACAGCTAACTAGCCTGCAGTCTACCCTCATACTCGTGATATCTGTATGTATGCCACTCTGGCTGCTCTCTTTTGGTAATGTATGGTTTGGGCTGATATTCGGGCATGAGGGTTTTGAAAGTCATACAGGGGCCTTGGCTGCCAAGTATCTTGTTAATGTCCCTGGTCCTCTGCGGCTTTGGGTTATGTGTCGAGGCGGTCAGTCTTGCCTTCGTTTTGATACCTGCGGTGTTGTCGCCTTATTGGTGGATATCCCTTCTTGTTCTTTGTAGGTAGTTAGCTTCAGGGAGCCGACGAGGCTCCCCTCAGAAAACCAGCATTGAATGTAATGAAACGCCAGTTTCTAGGTGAGGCCTGGAGGATCCCTGACACCTTCCACCAGGTCATTTGCATGTTTTATTATTATAGAACTGGGGGAGGTTGGACCCAGCTGATCTAGGTTTGCTCCAGCCTATCCCCAGGTGAAGGGGGGGAGGCGAGACAAATTAGCAGGGAGGGGGGGGGGTGGGGCAAGCTTTCCAAAATTTTGGTTGAATTCATTGTTGGCGGAGTTTTTTTTTCTACTTTTGGGGCTGCTGTCTCATTTTAACCATGCAGTAGTCTGTTTTGATTTGCCTACCTTTGTTAGAACCTTCCCTTGGATGCGGGCAAAGATGATGAACTTTAAATGTAAAGTGTTCATAGGCCATCGCTCCGTGTGCCCCTCTAGAGGGGGGCCAGGTTCTGGCTGGTGGTCCCCGGTGGGCCAAAAGAACTCCACAACTGATGAACCTAGTTGTATGGTATTTAACCAGTGTAATAGCTTTCAGGGAGCCTCCGGGGCTCACCCAGAAACAGCCGTTTCATTACATTCAACACTGGCGTTTCTCCCATTAATGTTTACTTCTTGCTAGTTCTTTGTAATGTATTGTGAGCTGCTTTTTACAGGAATTATAAGTTTCTATTTGCAGTTTACAATTGTGTATGTGTAACATACTATGGAACTGTTGGTACATAAGGCCAGTGGTCCCAGTTTCATTAATTAATTGTCGATATCCAAAGCAGCTTATATATATCATATGGGATATATATTTATATATACATGTATCACTAAGAACTCTAGTTGACCCAGCCAGGATTCGTACCCATGCCGTCCAGGATCACGCCCAAACGTGCACAGTACCGTGACCACCGCACCAATGATCGTCTTGATCTAGACGATCATTGGTGTGGAGGTCACGGTACTGTGTACGTTTGGGGGTTATCCTGGACGGCATGGGTTCGAATCCTGGCCGGGTCAAATAGAGTTCTTAGTGATCTATGGCTTGTGCGTTCATGCAGCTTTCTCACATATTCGTGTATTTTTTTATTTTTTTTAATCTATATTTTTTAATTGTTACATTAAATGGCGCTTGTACTGCACAGAGGTCTTTAATAAGACAAAATTATATCTACCTTTTATTTCATTCTATTCCAAAGGCTTTGGTTCTCTGTTGTGCTTGAAATATCTGTATGACTTCAGTTTTGCAGTTTGATGTATTGTAGAATGTCAGAATGTACTGCAGTGTTTATTAAAAAATTACTTTGTTGCCATAGACTTATTGTTTGAATAATTGCTATTAGTGGCATGAGGCAGTGATGAGTACTCTAAGAAACCAATGCCTTTGACAATGTTGTTATAGTCCTGTTGACCTCTTAACTCATCTTGGAACTGATGACACATTTATCAACAGTGTTAACTATACAGTATGAAGAGTGATCCACTCTAATGATTCCCGAGTGTCACTATTACCTAATACATCTGCAGTCTCTCAACATTTATTGTATGCAGCTAAGAATATAAAATATATTCTGTGATATTAAGAAAAGTTTAGTCACATAAAAGTGTGACCTCTTTTGTCAGCTTTTGACAAATTCTAGTCCCATGATAAAAAACAAAAATCCAAAAAGGTGCTTTAGGTACGGAGTCAAATATTGAATTGTTTGTCGCACACTAACACTATTTGCCTTGAGTATTTGTATTTGTTTTACACTTAACATATCATGTTCTAAATTATAGCTCAAGCTATTCATTTCTGCATTGTGACTCGGCGTACTTAAATCAGAATCCATTTGTAGTGTCCATGGAATCTGAAGATTGTCTGAATTTCATATAATTTGATATTAAAGTATGATGATTTTTTTTTTATCTTGCCGTGTTATTTACGAATTTCTTGTGTCAAGCTTTATTATTTAAAGGTAGTCAGCTTACTCAGCTTATGCTTTGAATGTTTCTAAAATACCATCCTCGTAAAACTAGTCATTATGGCTCAATTAGTTTGCATATTGATATGCTATAAACATTTTATATTAGCCAGTGAAGTTGTCTTCCTATAACATAGACACTTCACATAAGGTTTCAAGATGAAACAGTCCTGAATTGTTGCTTCTTGAAATGGCAGGTAATTAATATCCACCAGATGCACCAACCACAACATGTGCAGGCGAGGAGTCACAATAACGTGGCTGAAGTATGTTGACCAGACCACACACTAGAAGGTGAAGGGACGACGACGTTTCGGTCCGTCCTGGACCATTCTCAAGTCGATTTGAGAATGGTCCAGGACGGACCGAAACGTCGTCGTCCCTTCAACTTCTAGTGTGTGGTCTGGTCAACAACCACAACATGTATACCAGTAGTGAAGCATCACTTAGTGGATGAAAATTTTCAAGTTGTCTTAAATGTACCTTAGTGTATCTCAAGTAATGTGCTAACACTTACAATAGCTAATTCCTTATTATCATCTTATAGAGGAGATAGCGTTGATCTCTCTGTGTCATACTGCAAGGTTATGAGGACTTGTTTATTGTACAGTGGATCCTCGTATAATACTAGTTATGTATCTGGGGGAAAACAGTGTGCTATACGTTACTAAATAACACATGGCGTAGACAGTTACGTTCCCAGACATGTCAAAGTTGAACATTACATTAATACATTCTTTACAATAGTATGTTTGAGAGTTGGTGGGTGTGTGGATGGAGGTGAAAGAGGGTGTGGATAGAGCTGACAGAGGGTGTGGATAGAGGTGACAGAGGGTGTGGATAGAGGTGACAGAGGGTGTGGATAGAGGTGACAGAGGGTGTGGATAGAGGTGACAGAGGGTGTGGATAGAGGTGACAGAGGGTGTGGATGGAGCTGACAGAGGGTGTGGATGGAGCTGACAGAGGGTGTGGATGGAGCTGACAGAGGGTGTGGATAGAGCTGACAGAAGGTGTGGATGGAGTGCGTGTGTGTGAGAGTGGGGATGTGTGTGTGTGTGTGTATAATACCTAAGTGTAGCTGCAGTCTGAGAACTACGTTCATAGTGTCCGGTCTTCTCAGTACTCATTTTGTCATTAGTGGGATGAGAGTGGATAGGTGTGTGAGCTTATAAAGAAGGCAAATCCATGGTTTTCTTTGGAGTGAGCGTGCTGTGTATTTTTACCGTAAATAAAAATAGTGTGCGTGTAATTTAAGTTATTCGTCACTAAAAAGAAAGTGTTGTGCAGAAGAAAACATTCTATATAGATGTGTTATATAAAGGTCCACTGTATTATTACACTGTTATTTTGTAACTGTGATGTTTAGAAAATTTCTACCCTCCTAAGCTTGCAAGATCTGGATTGGAAGAGTATCATTAACTTTATCTAGTTTATTAAGAAAAAAGAATGAGTTTGTAACCAGGTGTGTTTAATATCTCTTATGACCTTTGTGACATAATAAAAGGTGTATGTATTGTTCGTCTAATTTCACATGTACATTATATATTAAAACATACAGTACACGATTTACTTCAGAAAGTAAGTATCAGTATTGTCTTTATTATGTCCAGTATCTATATAAGAAAATAGTTCAGATTATTGCTTTTCCTTAATAATTATTTAATATTCAACATAATGTACTTATTATTCAGTGTCTAATTCAGACACAATTAATAATTAGTTTTCAAAATATTCTATTTAGCGCCCTCTGATTATTCCGCACATTTGATGGTGCTACATAGCCTTCCCGGTTTGGTGCCTTTTTTTTGATAATTACTTACTTACTTTCAAAATATTCTCAGAATACTAAGTAGCAATGATTGGAGTTGTTACTTTTCCCAGGTAATGATGTTATTTACATATAGTGCGTTATTGACAGGAATACACCTGCACTGCTCATGATATTCTGGAAGAGAGGGGGACCGTACGTGTGGCCATCACCGTCGAGAGACTGCTGCAGTTCTATCAAGGACGCCACACGCCCATTTCTCCCCGAAATCAAACTCCAGTATGACACTTTTCGTGACCTCCCTTCTCTTACTCCCAGTATTAAATTATCTAACTATGATTCATCAGTGTCCTGGGATGACTGTAATTGTGCAGTGTAACTCAGCTTTCAGTAATTAAGTGAGGATAAAGTTTGCATACACTCGGAAGTTATCTTTCAACACCAGCAAATGTAATCCCAAGTTATTGTAATACTTTTGATTCCAGAAAGTTTCTGTGTGTGTGTGTGTGTGTATGGATATGTATGCATGTATGTACCGTCAATCAATAGGTGTGCAGGTTACATATGTATGTACATACATACTTTATATAAAGTATATATATATATATATATACACATGTATACATACACACATATACATACTGTATATTCCTTTTGATGTTATAAGATTTAAAGGAAAGTTTGAGTTTGTGGTAGATGGTGGTCAAGCCACTTGACGCCAGTAATACTGTGCTTCCCCTGCTTGCTTTCTTCAAGCCAAAGGCAATGTATCATCCTCAGCCAGTGGAACGTGCTGTTGTAAACTGTGAATGTCATATCATTTATTACTTTTATTCATTACTGGTTAGGATTTCATCATCCATGACTCATTTGCTCACTTGTCTTCAATCATTCCTAAGTTTATTTTATACATAAAGATGTGGTGTGCTTTTAAAGTGTTCCTTTAGTCATTTTTTATATTTTTATTTGTATTTGGCTCTCTGAGCATTGTACTTGCAACCACTGTGCTTGTTACTCAGCTCTCTGAGCATTGTACTTGCAACCACTGTGCTTGCTACTCGGCTCTCTGAGCATCGTACTTGCACCCACTGTGTTTGTTACTCGGCTCTTTGAACATAGTACTTGCAACCACTGTGCTTGCTACTCAGCTCTCTGAGCATCGTACTTGCACCCACTGTGCTTGTTACTTGACTCTCTGAGCATTGTACTTGCACCCACTGTGCTTGTTACTCGGCTCTCTGAGCATCGTACTTGCACCCACTGTGCTTGTTACTCGGCTCTCTGAGCATCATACTTGCAACCACTGTGCTTGCTACTCAGCTCTCTGAGCATCGTACTTGCACCCACTGTGCTTGTTACTTGACTCTCTGAGCATTGTACTTGCACCCACTGTGCTTGTTACTTGGCTCTCTGAGCATCGTACTTGCACCCACTGTGCTTGTTACTTGACTCTCTGAGCATTGTACTTGCACCCACTGTGTTTGTTACTTGACTCTGAGCATTGTACTTGCACCCACTGTGTTTGTTACTTGACTCTTTGAGCATTGTACTTGCACCCACTGTGCTTGTTACTCGGCTCTCTGAGCATCGTACTTGCAACCACTGTGCTTGCTACTTGAGCTGGATATCACCTGCTACATTTCCAGAAATGAATGTAAGAAAAACAGTCCATTGTGTAAAGTATTTTGTAGGACCGATGGATTACACTAGCAAGTTGGTACGAATGAAATTATTTGTAGAAGTACTTTCCTGTGCCATCCATTGGAACATTTGATATAAAAAGTTGTGTAACTTTTAAGACTGGCATAGTTTTCATTACTTTTTTTTAGTATAAAAAGCATGAGGTTACTTGCAAGGCATAAATCTCTTAAGACATTTTGTTTGCTTTTTAACTGATAAAACATTTAAATTTAGTTTCTTACACTATACACAAATTATATATATACTGTATATATATATATATTATAATAATACTAATATACAAAATATGAACATTATGTATTAGTGATATATATAGCTAGTGTTACCGAGACATTATCTGGGATGATAGGATCCATACCCCTGTAGGGTATAAAGTACCCAAGCAATCAACTGGGCACACTAAATTATCAGGACCAAAACAAAGCAATTGACTATAGTATGTGAAGAAACAAATTTGTTCCCAAACTATTGTAGGTGCATTAAAGTTGCTATGAATTATGTATTGCTTGGAGAGGACAAGTTGTTTTCTTTTATCTTTTACCGAGACGCAAGTCACCTGAAGTGCAAATATCAGACGATGAATTTTGTCATTATTTGATGGCCTTAGGACACATAATTAAGAGGTATTTTTGCAGCCTTTTGAAAATTATACTTTGAAAGTTATCAATATTAATTTAGAAAGTGTACTGGCTAAGGCCAGTTGGGACTAACCGGTGGAGTGATCGCTGACTTCAATCAGCGATTACTCTATAGCTGACTGGAGTGACTCGAACTTTGAAGGTTACTACAGCATTTTTTTTTGCTTATCTTCATCTGTGAGGTTTGAGGTGATGTCCTCAACATTGAATGCATACATTTCCCACAATGACTACTTCATTCCAGGACCTGTTTGGCCCTGCTATCTGACCCATATATTTTGATGTTTATAGTCTAAAGACTATACCCACCCTGATAATTTCCACATGGACTGTGGATGTTCATGTTCGTTTACTCCCAGCCAGAATAGCATCCACATCATAGAGGCCCACTCCAACGAGGTGGCTGTTTGCCTAGCTGTCCTATCTTACATTGGTGAGCCCCTAGTTTGGCTCTCAAAGAATGTCTTATTAAATGCCAACATTGAAACAGTCTCCTTCCACTCCATATTGAGATGGGGGACAAAGAATTTAAGGACTGTCATGAGGATATCTATATTTATCATTACTAATAGGGTGATGGAGTTGTTGCAAAATGTGTCAGCTTAGAATAGTGTGTATGGAAAATGAAGTTGGGGCAGTACAAGCAGCCAAAAAAAACTTTGAAATTGTATTTTTATTAAATATTTAAAAAATAAAAAGCATATTTCCAATTGTTCTGGTTAATAAATAGTAATCATTGATGACCAAACTACACATCAGAAAATGAAGAAACGCCAACATTTAGGTTCATCCTGAACCATTATCAATGTTATTGCTTACTTCACTTCATAATGGTCCAGGACGGACTGAAATGTTGGCATTTCTTCATTTTCTGATGTGTGGTTTGGTCATCAATGATTACTATTTATTAACCAGAACAACTGGAAATATTATGCATTTTATTTTTTAAATATTTAATAAAAATGCAATTTCAAAAAGTTTTTTTGGGCTGCTTGTACTGCTCCAACTTCATTTTCCATACACACTATTCTAAGCTTACACATTTTGCATCAACTCCATCACCCTATTAGTAATTAAAATTGTGGCATAAAATTCCACTGTTATTCTTACTCTTATAAATAATGGACACAGTTGTCTAATGTTGTTAGAAATGTTCACCTTTTCTAGCAATTTCTATATCTTGATTAGTACTGGATACCTCGTCATTTGCCTTTGTGTTGTCACTTGTTGAAGCTGCTAACAACACTGCTATACTATTATCTGTCGTGGTGAATCAATAGTCTGTTATTGGGCAGTAAATCCATGGTTGAAAGTTCTGTTGTTTGTACACAGCAACAAAAAAGCCAAGCAATGAGTCACAAAATGACTCCATCGATGAGTCATCGACTTGAGAATGGTCCAGGACAGACCGAAACGTCGTCGTCCCTTCACTTTCTAGTGTGTGGTCTGGTCAACAAAAAGACCAAGGCATGTGTAGGTACAGAATGGGTGGCCCGCGGCAAGTGGCACCTGTTGAGATGTCTGGTCAGTGTTCGAGACAATGAAAATATTAGCATCACAGTTTATTTGCACATTATACAGTATGTGGTGTGGGAAGAACTGATAGTCAACTCCCAGATAATGGCTTGGGCAACTTTAGTGGTTTATATATAAAGACCAGTGTAATAGTCAAAATGTAAACAGTTATGAACAAGAAAACACAAGAAATGTAAACTTAACAGATTTAACTCTCAAAGTGTGATTATCATCATCTTGCATCGATTTACAGGGTAATGTTAATTTATACATTAAACATACATTAATTTAAACCATTGTTGTCTGGGTTTTATGTCACTGATGCTAATATGGATGTAATAGCTCTATATGGATCTAGTGAAGTTTACCTTGACACATGAAAAATTCCTGCAATTGTTTTATGATTTCCTTACTGTGGAAATGCAGGTATTGTAAATGTTACTATGGTAATGCAGCAATTGTTATGGTATAAAAATCCAGTATAAATACATATGTATAATGATTGTATGGATACAATTCTGTGGCTGTAATGAAGTATACCCGATCAACCAGTCATCATTTGAACATAATAATGAAGAAATTTCAATAGGCGTATCGGCCCATACGAGGCCAATTCTATTTGCCTGTATATTGATATAAATATGCTAACGAGAGGCAGCAGCGATTTATATCTATATCGTTTCCATTATTCATATGATCGATTACATGGATATCCAAGGTTAGTATAGTATTAAGAATGTGTGGCTCGGGGCAGCATATTTCGTTGACGGAGCTCTCATAATGACAGAGGAGGTAGGTGCTATGGGCTGCCACACACTGAATTTGTACGTGTCTAACTCATCCTTCACCGACTTGTGCAGTAGGGTCAGATATGGAGCATTCTTCCGAGCTTATAAATATAAAACGATCTTCAAAGTTACTGGGAAGAGTTTTACAATTATAATAATGTTATGAAATATAATACAATGTACATTTACAAACTATACAGCACTTAAAATTTTGTAATTTCATTAGGACAGTAGACATCAGATTTGCAAGAGATTATGAAATGAGGCTGATATTTATTGCAAGGCAGTGACATTCTATGTTTAGCACATTGTGTATATGTATATATATACATGTTTTATCTTGAGGTCCACCACACCTAAGGTCAAATGACTGACCTTTCCCAGGATAGAACCCCACAGGCTGACTCCTGGGGACCTACCTATTTGCTGCTTGGTGAACAGGAACATTAGGTGATAGGAAATGTGCCCAACCATTTATCTCCTGCCCGAGATTCAAGTCCGGAATTCCTGACCAAGTCTAGAATAAACCCGACTGTATTACCTGTTGAAGAGGGCCCAGTTTTGGACAAGTGTTATGCTCATATTTCTTGTGATTTTGTTCATAAGTAGGCTTACATCTTTCTACATAAAACAGTCTTAAAAGAAATTCCACACACACAAGCAACTTATGATTTCAGTACATTATGCTTCATCGTGGGGTGGACTCGTCCTGTCCAGAAATTTGTAACAGACCACAAACTGGCTATTTTTGTAAATTTAAGCGTTGTGGCTACAGAAACACACACTTACAATAGGCACACAATCTATAGTGTATATTTTGTACAAGGTCTTGAATCTCAAGTCTCCATGCTTGCATCCTTCTTTTATATTGGCAATGTATATTTCGAGTTTGTTAAGAGGGTCTCCAGAGTGCCCCTCAATGTTGGTATTTGAGCTGGTCAAGAGTGCAATATATTTTTACATTTTTTAAGAATTGTACTTAATAGTAAATTGCCCCATACTTTTTTTTTAATATAAATATATACACAGTATATATACTGTGACTGCTTACAGATGACACTAAGTCCGAGATATATATATAATGGATAGTGTAAATACATTATATGGTTTTGTTCATTTCCCATTACATTCAGCTCAACTTCCATTTATTGTAAAATGTGTAGACGATGCTGTGTTTGTAGATGAATGTAAATAGAAAATAATAAATATTCACCAAAGACATACATAAGTACAGTTTATTATCCATTCCTTTACATTGTATAATAGGTTGTTTAACCCCACGTGACAGCTACTCAACCTTCCTGTTGTCGTACACTTTCCTCTCTCCTGCATAACGCTCCTTATCTCGCTCGTACTTTCCAGCATATAACTGGGGAAGAGAACGAATTAATTAAAATTTGTCTTCATACAAGTTCATGCTTAATAAAATGAAAGGATGCTAAAGGTTTAACTGCCATCTGAAGTACTTATCAAAGGCAACAAGCTGGGAAAGATGGCTTAGCACCATCTGGATTGCAGGATAGTCTAAAAGGTCCCAAATAATACTCGAAACAGCTTGTATTGGCTTTCAACTACCACCGATTGAAAGGGTTAAAAGCCTTCACGACCACTAGGAAATGTGGGGACATTAATTCCCAACTGGACTGTGGATGAATGAAAGGCACCAGAGCCAAGGCACAACCTCTTATGATACAGAGCATCAAGATGATGATGGGACGCTGGCAAAGCTGTGGAATATGTAGAAGAGCCATAGTATAGGACATCAGCCTAAATGTGTGTACCAAAACTACACAGTAAAATAACATACTGGAGTGAACTATATGGAAGAAAATGCAGAATAGTCAATGAAGATAAGGGATGCCATAGGCAAAGAACACTGTATAAACATCCTTCCAGTGAGTATAAGAAATATTGCCAGAACAAATGGACATCTTCAAGAGAAAACTAGATAATTTTCTTCAAGAAGTTCCGAACCAACCAGGCTGTGGTGGTTGTGGGCCGCTCCAAGCAACAGCCTAGTGGACCAAAGTCACTCAAGTCTGGCCTCAGACCGGGCTTGGGGAGTAGAACAACTCCCAGAACCCCATCAAGCAGGTATTAAGCAGGTAAATGGTCATTGTCTGAAGAAGGCTAAAAAACAGAGGGAAGGGGTAAAGTTAGAGATCAGGTCAAGCCGACTCAAGGGCTTGGTCACCCACTGCTAAAATTTGAGCCAGAGATTTCAATAATCATGTGAATGATTTAAAGTTGTTGCACCTTAGCCATATGCTATCACCTACTAGGGCAAAGATGGAGGTTAAGCACAAGTCAGCGCAGAAACGGGTGATTAATTAGCAAGTGTGTCGGAGGGAATCCAAACAACCCACACCAGTCCGAGGGATTTGCATGGACCCCTTTCCTCGCCACAGCATGGCAGAACCCACGAGAGAAATGTCATCTGAAATAACTAAAATTCCTTACCATAGAAAGATTTACTCACATACTGTATGGACGACTTGGTAATTCCGTTCACAGGATTCTAGAGTTTAGATGCAAAATTTCATAACTTCTGCCAGAGGAACTTTGTGATCTTAATACAACAAGTTTGATGTATTTTATTTATTCCCATCATAAATAGCATCCTCTTAAAAATAAATGCATTGTTCAGAGAATTCAGGTACAGTATTCATAACAGCATGCTTGGATAGTGAAGTTTACACACTAAAGTATAACACACTGAGAAGTCATTATCCCCCATTGTCATTGTCAACTAACCAATCCAGGGATGGGGGATTCATCTTTCTTTAAAATACTATACTATAGTTTCAAGGAGAATTAAGTACGTACTAACACAGCATCACGACAGTATTGAGATTACAGTGGGTGTACAGTATCTCGGAAATTGCCCTCTACAGTACACACACATTCAATCCGCAAAATATTTGCCACTCATCCCTATCACACACCATATTATGTGTGCTGTTCACATTCAATTCCCCATTTTCTAATATATTCAAGTAATTATGAAAAGAATCTGCCAAGTCTGTTAGGCTATGTAGCATTGTCTGTGTCAGAATATTCACAGGGTTCTAGATAGTATTCAAGATGGCAGAGACAAAACTAGCAATGTTAAATAAATCAGATTCACAGAGTGTATTGAGGGGCAAATGACTCAAAAGGTACAGTGGAAAAGCAAGATTTTAAATCCTAAAAATAAGGGCATTCTACAAGGTTCATGACTGTTAGGAGACCAAACAGCTCAGACAGTACAGTGCAGAAACATTCATGACACCATGTAAAAGACACATCGAACACTTTATGTAGGACATGCGTAAATCTGTGTATCTATGTATTTACGTATGAAGGTTAGCTTAGCATTTTAAAAGCACCGAATCACCTTCTGTGGTTGATTGTTCAATAAATCCCTGAACTATATGTTTAACACATCTCTAACCCTGTCCATGGAGGACAGAAGAAAATGTATATATGCTGGTTAGCATTGTAAATGTGTGGCCACGTTTGTGGTAGAAAAAAAAAGTATGGTGCAGATTTGTGTTCCATTAAGTGCCCACATGTTAATCATGTGTGGGGCCAATGCATAAACTGGTGAGAGATTGTACCATAATAATCTTCCATATAACTTCTCCCATGCTAATACTTCAATGAATAAGGAGCTCTAATTTAAATGCTATTGAAAAATCAAGAATTAATATTGTTTTTACTAACCTGTGTTCAATCCTTGATGCAAGAAAATAATCAAGAATACTGTGAATGCAAAATTATATATTCATGATATACATTCAGATACTGTGCTACAGTATATGACTGGTTTTTATTTTTAGGTGATAACAGTTTACAACAAAACAGTTCTTACCTTTTTGTCATCTTCTGACAGGGAACTCCAGCGTGCAGCAAGTAACTTAGTTAACTGTTTTTTGTCAAGGGGTCTTCCTGTTTGCTGAAGGTGCTGAGCTGTGGTGCTGTCTCGCTGCTCCTGACAAAACTGAAGAAATGCATTGTTCGGACGCTTTGGTGCTGATGGATCACGCTCCATCTTCTCTCGCTTCATCTGCGACTGTTATGAATAACACAATTAAAAGCTACATCTTGTTATTTTCCTATGTTGATGAAATGAAACACAGCCTACAGCAAAACCCTGGCTATGAAGGGTGTCAGCGTGTGCCATATGATAAAGTACCTAAACCCTAGCAAACCCCACAACAATAAACCCCAAAATCCTCAACTACAGGCTGTCACAGGAGGAGTCAAAAACCCATGCACTACCTAGGATGAGAGCACTGCCCTCCGAGGCACTACACTACTCTATACTACAGCATAGAGGCGCCAGGCTCTCCACACTGTAGCCTGGCCTCTCAGAGGTGAACTCAGGAACACCAGTGAACCTACTCTATTGGTATAAGGGCCATGCTAAACAAGTGCTTAGGGAAGAGCTTCCCTAAGCACTTCCTGTTCAAAGTAAAATTCAAACAAAGTCTGCACAACAAGTGAGGCTTGTAAACACATGCACGTGAAGTAAATACTAAAGATTAAGAACGACACACAAGCAAATGGATCCCACAGAACAGAGTGCAAAGGATGGTGTTACGGTAATCTCCTGCTTAGGCAGAAGATCCTGCCTGTTCACTTTACCTACTATTCACCAACGTATCTGCATGCTCCAACATAAGGAATCAACAAATACAACAATATGTGCTCAAAAGCCTCAGTGTCTAGACAAGACAACCACCCCCCCCCCCCCTGTCCACCCTCTAGTAACCAGAACACCTGCTGTCTGGGCAGAGACCCAGCGCCACTCACTAACTGCTTGTTTAATTGTCAACCGATGGTTACTCACGACATCAGCGCCATCTATGCTGGCCTGGGCCGCATATATAAGGAGCTCACCGACGTCCAGTCCTCAGAATACCCTTCGTGCTCCAAGCTGCAACGTCTACTCTCACTCCCCTGGGTGTTGGTAGGCTCGAGCAGCTCTTGTATAAAGTATTAATTTGCACCTTTCTTTTGCTTAACGTAACATTCACCTGTGTTTATATTTCTTTTATATTGTGTTATTGCCAAGTTGATAAGGGGCTTGTTTGTTATTAAAGTAATTTTTGCTATATTTAATGTTTCAAGTGTGTGTGTTTTCTTTGTATTACCCGCAACTCTCACACAGTAGAGGTCACAAGCAGTCTTATTTACTCTATTTTACTTTTTTTTATTATTTAATGTGATTGGCACAACACCAGCCAGAACAGCCACTGCTCTATTTTCAGATTAATGTCACAATGGCCTACATTTGTCAAAAAGTGGGACTTGTCACAACCGGTTCGGGGAGGTCTGTATACACAGACATCAGTGACAGGACTTTGGCAAAGAGGGTGCAGTTATGGAACTCCCATAGTACCATCACCTGTTGGGGGCCATTTGCAATCAGGAGGTTCGAGCTAGTTTCGAGCCAGTTTGGTTTGAGCTGTGTAGTTGGCCGTTGTGAGCAGTTGTGTAGAGGTCGTTTTGTTTTGGTGCTCCATTTTCTTTCAAACTTGTAATTGTCTATGTTGCTCTGCTTACTTTCTGGACATTTTCCAAGCGAGGATGATTATAACAATCCCCCATTTTCTGCACCTCTGAGGGGAACAAAGTTCTGGCTCTGATCCCCAGTAGGCAATAATATCAAGTTTAATCAGTGTTTACACTAGACACATTAAATGGCATCAGTACCCACACAAATGTATGAAGGAGGTGAAGAGAAGGAATTAACGGATATACCCATAACGTGACATAATCAGGACAAGTAATGACAAAGTAAAAAAAACTCAACAGCTGCACGTGTAGATGGAATTCAACCCAAAGTCATAAAGGAAGAGGAACTATTGTTACAGAGCCCCCTCCTATTTCTCCCCATATCCGGCTTTAAGTCATATCCGCTGACCCTGCTGATTCAAAGGTGCAGGGAGTCTCTTGATATATAAGGTGACCAGATTGGTCACCTAATTGGGGAGAAATTTGTGTTTATAAGTTTGTAGGTAAGGGAGGAAATCGCGCCCTTGGTACAAACAAAATGGTGTTCCCTGCTTGCAAATTGGCCATTTTGTGGACGACGCCAGCCAGCTGGCAATTGGCTGGCAGAGGTCACGTGGAGCGGCCGACCAATCATGGCCCACCGTGATATAACCGAGAGCCCCTGGCGGAACCTGCGGAGGCGTCGCCGAGAGCCGATCTGACTGTTGATGCGAGCAGTCGTGCATCGAATAGCTCAGGGAGCCTCTTTCAGTGGATTATAAGCAGCCATCGCAGTCCACCATTATTGTCGAAGACACCGTGTTCTTGGGGAGCACGAAGAAGCCAAGTTTAGTGGGCAAAGGAGTGCCAAGACTTGAGGATTTAAGTCGGCGACGACTCGGGAGGGCATACCTGGCGCTCGCGAGTCCAGTTGGTGTGACGAGCAGGTCTGCAGTGACCAGGTCACATCTACCGAGGTTGGAGGGAAGACACCGTTTCTAGGTCAAGGAGGCAACGCCTCGTGGAAGGAACGTGTGTACACAGTGACTGGCTCAGTGACCACTGGTTGTACCTGGATTGGAAGACCTGAACTTAGGGAGTGGCATGGAAAAGACGCGATTGCTTCACAACACCTGAAGCCCTGCAACACGCTACTGGATCATCAATGGATCATCAATAGAATGCAGGGCAGCTAGTATTTTTCATTAATAAATGCCATACATTTTCTCGACGTGTCTGAGTGCCTCCATATATCTCTATGAGCATACATGAGTGATATTATAGCCCCCACATATGAACAATAAGATTTTATATGAAAGTATCCTAGTGGCTGGCAGTGTGAGAGCAACACATATTTATAGAATGTACCCTAGGCTGGCAATCCTGATTTAACACTAAATGTAGCAACACGTATGCTATCAAGCCACATAGTGCATAACCACTGAACTGCACTGCTGGGGGTGCAGAGATATTAACCCAGCTGGCGACCTTGTTAGACAGTATAGAAACGCAAGTGTGGAAGGTTGAAACCTGCAACCTTTTGTTACGGCGGGCAAGACTCGGAGGAAGTGCTGTTGAGAGTATTCGCGAGTCTTTCTTCACTTCTCCGTGGGGCAAGGCCGGAACTGCTGGTAGCAGTTTGCCCTGTGATTGACTGAAGGGCTCCCAGGGTGAATCAGTGGCACCCAGGTGGTGGGAGCATAGACCTGCAGTGGTGAGCATTACGTGGTCCTCACCTTTGGGACCAAATGACTCCGGTGAGTTATGTGAGTCAGAGAGACTGACTATTCTTTCTCCTGAACCCCTAGCAGCCCCCTGGATAGCCCAGCCCACTCCTTGTAACAACATGCATACCGCTGAAATCGTTTTTCAGAAAATCTCTGGACCCGGGATAGTTCCCATAGATTGGAAATATGAAAATGTCACCCCTATTTTCAAAAAAAGACAGAAAGACCACGGCAGTCTGTCCAATCAGTTTGACTTCACACATCTGCAAGCTCATGGAGAGAATCCCAAGGGAAGGAAACATTCCCCATCGCACAGCAAACTATCTTGTAAAATCAACATAACATGGGTGCGTTAAAAACAGATCCTGCCTTACAAACCTGCTCATATTTTTGCAAATGGTAAACAGCTTCTCAGATAAAGGATTTCTGGTAGATACATGGATTTAGCTAAAGCTTTTGAATAGGTAGAGCCGGTTGGCTGAGCGGACAGCACGCTGGACTTGTGATCCTTTGGTCCTGGGTTCGATCCCAGGTGCCGGTGAGAAACAATGGGCAGTTTCCTTCACCCTATGCCCCTGTTACCTAGCAGTAAAATAGGTACCTGGGTGTTAGTCAGCTGTCACGGGCTGCTTCCTGGGGGTGGAGGCCTGGCCGAGGACCGGGCCGCGGGGACACTAAAGCCCCGAAATCCTCTCAAGATAACCTCAAGAAGGTACTGCATGAAAGGCTAGCAAAGAAATGGGCATATGGTTACCACACACATACCATACACATTATATTTTGATGTTTTCTTGACTCACCTGACGTTTGACACTTGAGGTTGAGCTGGAACTTCTTGGTCTTCCCAGCGCTGGGAGGCTAGATGTCTGTGCAATGATTCGTATTGAAATGACGGAATATGCAGCTACAGTCAAATATAAAACAGCATTTGTATTTTCCAAAATTTTTAATGTACACAAAATTATACAAAATATTAACATTAATATCAATCATATCAATAAATACATTCTACATATAGAGTTCATTACAATAAATTGATGGATTATAATTAAAGTGACATGACTACTGTATATATATGACATGATATACACACGCACTACCATGGATAAAAATGTTACATTATGACAATTGTCTAAACACCATATTATGTCTCCTACCTGTGGCAAAGCAAAGGATTTGTCATCCTCTTCAATGGCAATTGTTAAGGGCAAAGTTCTGTAATTGTCACCTCGCTTATCAAGCTCCTCCATTAGAAATCTGAGGAAATAAAAAAATTGCAATAATTAACTTTTACACCATTTTAATTGCTATCTTCGATTTCTTCCTGTGTGCCAATTGTCATACGGATTCCCCATTTGATTTGTTAACTATTTGGACAGGATTGGTAAAAACCCATTTTTTTTTTCCTTGAAACTCAACCCAGGTTATTTACTATCCTTCAGAGTATACACACACACACACATTGACAGTCCCCCCTCAACAAAATTAATTAATTATCATATTGTCGGGGATTGAACGCCGACCTGCATGAAGCGAGACCGTCACTCTACCGTACAATGGGATGGAAACATCAGTGTAACACTCACTCTCTTTCCTTTCTCAGGCGGCGCACAATCCTCTTCACCTGATACACACGATTCACCAGCATTTCATTTTCCTTCAAATGATTAAAACAAAATATCATTTTGTATTGTAATATATTTTAATTCAATATAACTACAGTTTAACAATATATAAATATAATACATACATAATATACAGTAAAGTGCAACCTTAATCAGGTGAACTATACTAGACCAACTCCAATTAGTTGCATCCAGAGATTTGTTGCAAATGGAGATGCCTTCAAGACACATTTATATAATGGATTTTTGCAACACAAGAAAAATACATAGCTATCTCAGTTTTTCCTAATGTTTCAATCTACACAAATATTGTTACAAACATGATTGGAGCCAAATTAAAAGTGTTGCCATTCATATACTTATATTTCCCTACATTCTACCGCCTAATTTCATCGTGCAAATTTTTTTATTTCGCATGCAATTATCGAGATATTCCCAATAATTTAGGTGTTTTATCGTGTTTATGCATGCCATAGATGTATTCTTTCTACTTCGGCAATCACTTCTGTTCTGAAAGGGAAAGCAGTATCGAGCAGTACTCAAGGCAGAACAAGATAAGTGATTTGAATTGTATGACCACTGTGATGAGATTCGTAGAGGAAGAACATTCAGCAAATTCAATTTCAATAATAAACAGATTACAGTAACTCAAAACTAATAAACCAAGGCCTCACAGAAATAAGATGGGAAGAACAGCTAGCAAATGCAAATATAAATCACTGCCTCAAAATAAATAGGCTCGGTAGCTTTAGAAACAAGCTCAAGCCAAATATTGCTGAGAAAAAGATAGAAAAGATGCAATATGGAACAAGAACGCAGTTCCCTCTACAGGCCCGACTCCTTTGCCAGGTAAGCCATCTAAGGCTCACCATAGCTCCTGTTACTTGCAATTTTTTCCCCCAGTAGCTGATCTAAGGCAACAACATCTATAGGCATTGGAGCCGGTCGGCCGAGCGGACAGCACGCGGGACTTGTGATCCTGTGGTCCCGGGTTCGATCCCAGGCGCCGGCGAGAAACAATGGGCAGAGTTTCTTTCACCCTATGCCCCTGTTACCTAGCAGTAAAATAGGTACCTGGGTGTTAGTCAGCTGTCACGGGCTGCTTCCTGGGGGTGGAGGCCTGGTCGAGAACCGGGCTGCGGGGACACTAAAGCCCCGAAATACTCTCAAGATAATCAAGAGAGGAGTACAACCAACACAGCCAATCTTTACCTTCTGAATACAACTGCACCTCCTTAAGATGGCGTTATATTTCTTATAGTACTTATCTTCGGTGCCATTTTCAGCTGAAGCAAACGCCGGCATCATGTTTGCCTCGTGAGGAGAGTTATCTAGGTCTTCTGCACTGAACATCATGTTGACTGGAAGTTGTTGTGGTGGTCGCTTACTCTCAATCTCGTCGCTTCCGTTTTCTGTGATAATCTGAGGCCGGATTCACGAAGCAGTTATGCAAGCACGTACGAATGTGTACATCTTTCCTCAATCTTTGACGGCTTTGGTTACATTTATTAAACAGTTTACAAGCATGAAAACGTGCCAATCAATTGTTGTTATTGTTATAAACAGCCTCCTGGTGCTTCGGAGCTCATTAACTGTTTAATAATTGTAAACAAAGCCGCCAAAGATTGAAAAAAGATGTACAGGTTCGTATAACTGCTTCGTGAATCTGGCCCCGACCTTAATTATTCTCTCATCCCAGCCTGGTAAGGTTATTATGAAGACGAAACTCGTAATGTAAATGCCACTATAACAATGTACAACAACCCCAATGGGAAGAAATCCCACTATCAATTTTACCTAAATGCTATTTGTCAAAGATTTCCCCCTATTGTTCTTAAGGATTTTCTCTAACTGGCTTCTGAACTGATGTAATGTCTCGAGATTAATGGCTTCAGATGGTTGGTGGTTCCATGGGTTTAACCCTATGGGTGAAAAAGTATCTCCTATTTTGTATCCTCTATTGTGACTTGTTGAATTTTAAGCCACAATGTAGGAAGAACTTAAAATGAAGAGCATTTGCCAAACGACTGGCAAATGTTTTTTTTTAATTTCAAAACATGCAAGTCCTTGTATGTGAAGCATAACAACCCATGTCATAATTACCAAATTAACATTACCTAGCAGCAAATTGATAAGGAAAAGGACCTTTTTGCTTTTCATTTTTAATGATTGCATATTTAATCCCATTTTCAAATGTTTATGATTAAATCCCATTTTTAAAGATTAATTATTTCTACCAAACGAGTTTGGATGGTACTAAATGTAATAGAGCCCAACCTCCTAAGGTTTCCAAACATCAAGAAACTCTTGTACTTAAGTGCCCCTTATCCTAACCTACCATAGGACCCAAAACAGAAAATGGGACAGGATGTCAATTTCACAAACTGCTACCATTTTCTAGTACGATTTTTGGCCTTAAAAGTATGGGTCAAAATGCGACGTTCTATTACGACCACATGTTGGGTAACATGTATCCAGAGCGTCAACAAGGTACTTGCCTAGTTGGGCTTGTGGGGAGAGGGGGGTTGAGCTTCGGCACTCTGGTTCCCTCTCGGTCACCAATCGACTGGTGTACAGGTTCTAGAGTCTATTGGGCTCATTGCATCTACATTTGAATACCACTTTCATGCCCGTGCCACCTCTTGAATGGCTTAAAGCAAAACATTAAAACAAAGAATAAATAAAAAACACCACTTCTCATTTGTACATTGTATCGATTTTATTATTTTAGTGTGAAACTGCTAATAGTTTCACAAATTGTACATTAACAGTTTCTCCATAAAAATATGCAAAATTGTAAAAATATGAGCACTACATTGAGCAATTTATTCTGAAACCATTATTGGTTATATGCATTGAAACTGTAATTTATATCACACAAAGCAGGACAACCTTAAGGATCCAGCTTCATAAAATCAGGATGAATAGGGTACACTTGACAAGCTGCCAGCTTCCCGTCTTCATCGAGGCAACTAGAGAGATAGTAGCCCTTAGGTAAATTTAGATAAATTATGGATCAAAAATTATACCTTACAAAAGGTAGTGAATTTTTTTTAAATGTTTCTTATATGATGTAGTACATACATCAAAATACTGTACACAAACTTAACATTTTTGATGCTCTTTAACAAGATAAAATAGGCACTCTTGGAAGACCAATATAATAACTATACAGCAATAGTTTATTCCCTCTGAGCAACATTGAACTTCATTGTGATAAGATCTCCCAGGCCTGCAGATATAACGTCGCCAGGCAGCACTGGGCCAACTCCTGCAGGTGTACCAGTGAGAACGAGATCCCCCGGGTGAAGCGTGAAGTACTGCGTGATATACGAAATGAGGTAGGGTATGCTGAAGACCATATCTGCTGTAGTGCCATTTTGTCTCATTTCCTCATTTACCTGTAAGTAAACTAAAGATCAGCTTCTTGGAAATTCAGTAAAGTAATTGTATTACTAATATGCCATTATTTGCAAATCTGGGCAACTGACGTTAATGTAACATTGAATCAATGCTGATCATATGTTGATACAACATTACTCCAGCACATTTTGCCTGCTGGGATGTAATTTGACATCTGTAACTGAAAGACTAAGGTGTATGAGGAGTAACCCTACACTATGGTCTAATCATTTTAAACCAATTAATTGCTAACCTACTTGATTTAATAAACATTAGTATAAGATTACTGTACTTGCATATTGCAGTATATAGCTTCCAATTTAGTTTATATACCTTTTTAAAAATTAATACATACCACATACATATACATTATTAAAACCTTGCAATGTCATCTATCTTAAATTATTTCCTCGTATAATAATTTCATATTAAATTTGATCCTTTGTATCACTTTTTACTGCTTCACAGTTGGGAACATTTCAGACCTCCAATTCCTGAGAGGCAAGTTGAATTTTTTGCTAGAGAAAATGCAGCATAGTCCTCAGTGTGCATGGCCAGTCATTCTTTTGTACCAAAGCCTCGCATTATTATTTTCACCTCTTGCCTCCGGGGTAGCAGTCACACAAAATTATAGATGGTAGGATAAAGGATATTGTCTTAGTGTTAATTTAAAAATACTGTACATATATAACATCTGCTATTTCCCACCTTGCACCACAGCTTCACAGCACTAGGGTCACTCAGTTCCTTAGTGGAAAGAAACCTGGAAATTGGAAGTGCAGTGTCAAAGCACTTGGCCATAGTCCATGGATTCCCTGTCTTCTTGGCCTCCTCCTGGAAATCTCTTGCTGTCATATCCAGCGCAAGCGCATATCCAGCAACGCGTGACATAGCATCATTTTCGGACACATCTCGACACACCGATCCAATCACCACTCCTAGTTCTACTTCGTGGTGACAGCTGTTACTCCCTCGAGGTATCTGTTTGAAAAATTTTGAAGAATTCAAATTATGAAGATCATTAGTATTCGTCAATTTCAGAGCTGTAGAGAAAGTTTGCTAGTTTTGTAGCTTAAATTATCAAATTGCAAAGTAAAGATCAAAGTAAATAAAAAACCAGTATTGAATGTAATGAAATACCAATTTCTGGGCGAGCTCCAGAGAGTTCCTGAATTATTACACCGATTCAGTGCCATACTACTAGATGCCATCAGTCATGGAGTTCTTATTGACCTACTGGGGACCAGGCCCTCCCCCCCCCTTCCCCTTAGAGATGCAAAGGGAGCAATGGTACTATGATAACATTACATTTAAAATGTTATTCCTGTCTGCCACCACTAGAGACAGCACCCAGAAAGTCAGCGAACCAAAACAAACTACTGCATGGTTAGAAATGAGACCGCAGTCTCAAAACAGCCAAAAGAACTCCAACAACATACACAAATTATCAAAAGATCGCAAAACTAGCGCATTTCAGGGAGGCAGGTTGGGTTAGCCGGCTGCCTCCACCCCTAGTTCTTATGATGGAAATGCTATATCTTTGGTATATCAAGTATATCTTTGGCTGTAAAAACAAACAAAAAAATAGTCTAACCAATATGGGTCCAAGGCCCTCTTCCAGGTATGAAGAAGGAGGCTTCATGAAGAGCAAAGGCTTTGTAGGAACAGCATTTCCAAGTTCTGCACAGTGGTCTCTGAAAACGTTACAATATGGTACATACAGTATACCCGACACCTTCCATAAATACAACAATCTTGGTAATGTCCAGTGTAAATCCACAAATTACAAAACGACAGCAGTTAGGAATGGCACAGTTGCATACTTATTGCTTTGTAGCTTTTAAGTATTGGTTAAAAATAGATATAAAGAATTGAGATCATGGGAGAGAGGTATCCTCTTAATACCCTCTATTTAGTAAGGTGACTGCTAAGGTACTCAAGTAGCTACTCGACAACAATGTTACCAATCATATAGAGTAGGAAAGTCAAATATTTTGTAATGCTTCTATGGGCCTTAGGGATTGTTTTTCTCGGTGGTGTGATGTCTGATCTCCATGAGCCCAATTGAGGAGACAAGATAATCTTTGAAAAGGTACTTATCCCAGAGTGTACGAAAAGTCATCCAATGCCTAACATGATCACAGTGCTTTGGGGTCACAAGCTCGAAGAGCTACCAAGGTTACCTGGCCAGAAAATACTACTATAGTTACTATGAAGCCACACTCCAGTTCTATATGAAATAAATGAGGTAATACTGCCAATTACATTAAAAGGCAAATTAGGGTCGAGAAAGGTACTACAAAAAGGTAATTAGATGCATCTTACCTAACCTGAATTTATGCGAGGGCCATCTCCAACGACCTCAATGGGGACAGAAAGCTGGCAGCTTGTCATAGGTCCTATCTTTACACATTACTTATGAATAAACATATCACGGTGACCTTGCAAGCCTACCTGTAGTTCCTACCAACAGCAACAATATTTCTCCCCCAGAGAACAAACTTGCTGAAGTTGTGCCCAGCTTGGCCTGCCATACTCAGGATCTTTATGGAGACAACTCTCGCAGTCTGCGTGAAGGTTCTGTCCTCTCAGAGGCAACTCCGCCACTCTAGTAACGTTCTAAAATGATTTATTACAAAAAGAAACAGCTGGTGTTGTTATGACGGCGTCGCCGGTCGCTTGTCCTCCTGTCTTCCTCTCCCGTTCTCTCTGTCTCAAAATGTTGGGGTAACTCGTCTATTTTTAAACAATAATAACTTTTCAGATTAGATTAGATTAGATTTTTTATTCGGGTAAAGATACATACATTGAAGATGCGTTACAAACATAATGTTGGAATTTAAAGATAGAGCTAGTACATATAATAGCCACTAGCACGCATAGCGTTTCGGGTTTAATTCTTCCACAGATTAAAGCAATCATATTTACAGTATAGTCCACTAAAGATCTGCATCATTTTGACAATTCTGACATTAGCATTATAGCCTGAGTGATAACCTGCAACAGCCTTGAGAGCTCGGAGCCTATCTTCCAGCTGCTTCCGTGGGGCGGTGCCCCCCTACGTTCGTGTGTAGATGAACACCGGCCAGATTCACGAAGCAGTTACGCAAGGACTTACGAACGTGTACATCTTTCCTCAATCTTTAACGGCTTTGTTTACATTTATTAAACAGCTTACAAGCATGAAAACTACCCAATCACCTGTTGTTATTGTTATAAACAGCCTCCTGGTGCTTCGGATCTCGTTAACTGTTTAATAATTGTAAACAAAGCCGCCAAAGATTGAGAAAAGATGTACAGGCTCGTAAGAGCTTGTTTAACTGCCTCGTGAATCTGGCCCGTGCTCGACTTTATCTGTAAAGAAATATTATCATGGACGAACACTCAGCGCTTTGAGTTCGTAAACTGTTTAGTTATTACCAATTAAATACAGCCGCCATGATGGAGATAAAAAGATATAAATATACTCGAGAGCCAGTAACACACTAGTGGCTTCAATGAGGACAGGAATCCGGCGGCTTGTCAAAGGTCCCCCATTTCTCCTGATGATGTTTACAAGCTGAATTTTGAGGTTCAGCAGAGTTTTGGCAGTTACGGCTCTGGCGGGTAGGCAGTTCCATGGGTTTATAACCCTGTGGGTGAAAAAGCATCTCCTGTTTTCAGTCCGACATTGTGGCTTGTTGAGCTTGACACTATTGCTCCTTGTTTGTGTTACATCTGACCTGTTGAAAAAGGTGTCTCCAAATTGTTCAGCATTTTGAAAGCATTTTAAAAATATATTCAAGTGACTTTATAGGCTTTACAAGAATGTAAAACATCAATGCTCTGTACTCCCATAAGCCCAATGTACCTTCTTGCATTTAAATAAATAAAGAAATAAGTAAAGAAATAAATAAATTCAGAGGTGACGTAAGAGTTCTGTTCAAGTGGAGGCTAGTGGATTTTTACAACCTTGGGAACGGGAAAAGTTTGCTATCCGCCCCAGATAATTCAGTCAAAAATGCAATTCAATTTCTTCATTATGCACCCCATACCCATCCCGTGGGCGGTAGTGGAAAGGGTTACAGAGGCACATAATGGGCTCAGGGACTCAACCTCACAATTCATTTAGCTAAACAACTTACAATCTTGAGGAGCTAATTACCAAATTGGATCAATTCTAACTTGGAACTTCTAATTCAACACCCCATCTTTAGCATCATTCAGGCACGCCTCGTGTCTCTTAATCACGCAAGCATTAAAACAATTTGCAGGTTAATTTATTTACCACTGATATATTTAGGTGGTGACCATTAGTACATGTGATGCTGCACGTGACAAGTGTTATCTGTACGTCGGTACGTATCAGTGGTGAACGATGTCGCCACCATACGCTCATCATCGCGCATCTGGCAACTCCCACGGAACTTGCTTCAATGTTCTACCTTTTATTTATTTATTTATTTATGTATTTATTTATTTATTTATGTATTTATTTATTTATTTATGTATTTATTTATTTACAAGAAGGTACATTGGGTTTATTGGAGTACAGAGACTTCAAGTTTTATATTCTTGTGAGGCCACTAACACGCGTAACGTTTAAGGCAGATCCTTAATCTAACATAATTTGAATCCAACATTTTAAGGGGCTGTCAATTGAAGAAGCTGTCAATTGAAGAAGCTGTCAATTCTAGATGCTGTCAATTCAAGAAGCTGTCAATTCAAGAAGCTGTCAATTCAAGAAGCTGTCAATTCAAGAAGCTGTCAATTCAAGATGCTGTCAATTGAAGAAGTTGTCAATTCAAGATGCTGTCAATTGAAGAAGTTGTCAATTCAAGAAGCTGTCAATTCTAGATGCTGTCAATTCAAGAAGCTGTCAATTGAAAAAGCTGTCAATTCAAGATGCTGTCAATTCAAGAAGCTGTCAATTGAAAAAGCTGTCAATTCAAGATGCTGTCAATTGAAAAAGCTGTCAATTGAAGAAGCTGTCAATACAAGATGCTGTCAATTGAAGAAGTTGTCAATTCAAGAAGCTGTCAATTCTAGATGCTGTCAATTCAAGAAGCTGTCAATTGAAAAAGCTGTCAATTCAAGATGCTGTCAATTCAAGAAGCTGTCAATTCAAGATGCTGTCAATTCAAGAAGCTGCCAACTGAAGAAGCTGTCAATTCAAGAAGCTGTTAATTCAAGAAGCTGTCAACTGAAGAAGCTGTCAATTGAAGAAGCTGTCAATTCAAGATGCTGTCAATTCAAGAAGCTGTCAACTGAAGAAGCTGTCAATTCAAGAAGCTGTTAATTCAAGAAGCTGTCAACTGAAGAAGCTGTCAATTCAAGAAGCTGTCAACTGAAGAAGCTGTCAATTCAAGAAGCTGTTAATTGAAGAACCTGTCAATTGAAGATGTCAGTTGAAGATGTCAGTTGAAGATGTCAGTTGAAGATGTCAGTTGAAGATGTCAGTTGAAGATGTCAGTTGAATCAGGCGACAGCCGAAGACTCCTAAAAGCGTACAGAGCTAAACAGGACGTAAGATAAAGGAATTCTTCTGAAAAGCTGTATCACTCTTCCTGTTTATAAAAAAAATATAGTTGCACTCCGGATAGCCGTCAGAGATGCGCATCACTTGTGCGCATTACTCTATATGAGGTAATCTTTCCACCACCACTCCTTACGGGATCACCATAGCCCGTGCTACATGGACACTTCGTTCTGAGTAGTTAAATCTGAAACAACATTGAACCACTACTCCTGTGGAACAGAAGAAATGTGAAGCTACAGAAGCCCTCAAATTCAACATTAATCTGCATTATATACACATTCCACAGCCACTACAATGATTAGAAAAGCCGTTAAAGAAAGGGACTCACTAGTGAACATTCTGCATCTACATCCGCCAACAAGATAATGTTATTAAATCAAGACTAAAACAGAAGCGAAAAAAGAAACAGGGAAAACGGAGGAAACCCCACCTCCATTTAATACTTTGACCCAAATATCAGAGTAGCAACGTTACAGCGAATAACCGAACACAATTATGGGCTCACCATAGCCCGTGCTTCATGGACATTTCATTCTGAGTAGTTAAATCTATAACAACATCCACCACTCACAGGATGGGTGAGTGTGTGCTCTGAAACGTGTCCTCCACAGGATGGGTGTAGAGTGCTATATGGAATCTGTCCTAAAAGTGGATTGTTTTTAGCTAATAGTTTTTCCCTTCACTTTCATAGTAAGGTTAATAATATTTTTAATATATAATAATATACTGTATAATAGTGTATAAACTCTTTCTAGTTTTTTTCTGTATAATATATATTATTTATATACTGCCCGAAACGCTGCGCGTACTAGTGGCTTTACAAGATTGTAAATACTATTTTATGTATTCTCACAAACCCAATGTACCTTCTTGTATATAAATAAATAAATAAATAAATATTTACAATAACCCTCCCTTCCCCAACCCAAAAAGCCTATCCTTTTAAGCGTATTTGTTTTCCAAAATTATATAATCTCATATTTATATATTTTCTAATAGTTTAAATCCGTGGAACCTCCTTCGCTTCCAACTAAGAGACACAGACAAGAATTAATACGAAGGTATAGTTAGGTATTATTAGATATTTAGTCATTAATGAAACCCACACACATGGCAGCAGTCTATAAGTGCCCGTTGCATGCAAATTCTGCTTCGTAACTGTTGATATATGCATTAAACTTGCTTAGCTAAATGAATTTTGGGGGATTTAGTTGCTAAGCTCCCATTATGTGCCTTTGCAACCTTCTCCACCGCCACCTGTCGCATGATGGGGTATGGCCTATTCAAATTTCAAATTCAAATTCAAATGTTTATTCAGGTAAAGTACATACATACAAGGTGTAATACAAACATTGATGGATTTATAAACAGAGCTAGTACATACATTCATGTATCATCATTCTATCATTCATGTATGGGGTATACATTTTACACGTATAACCCCATACATGTAAAATGAACTAAATTGAACTTATTGCACTAGTGTGTCCAATATGGTCAGGCAGGATTGTAATATAATCTTTCACCATTGTAATTTAATCACACATTTAAGGCGAATGAAAACTGATTGTCAATAGTTTGCAATAGTGTAACTTACATTCCATTAACTAATATAAGTGTCCAGGGGACCGGATTCACTAAATATTTACGGGAGTTGTTAGGAAACGTCTTGTTACAGACTTAATGATTACTACGCGATTTGATCTGGAATTAATTATAATATTATTAATATAACTGTCACCACCCATGAGATGGGTATGAGAACTACCGCCCGCAAGTTACATATGAAGTCCACCAGCCATAGACTAGGCACTCATTGTATACATAGCGAGAAGATGGGCCTATGTATACATAGGATACATATATAGAAGCATTACTAGTTATGGCAGGCCAGGAGCATCATCATACCCCTGGCAACGCGGTAGTCATGTGATCATGACTCGTCTCCCGTCGTGCCGGCGTACGATCATAATGTCACCACTTTATGAAATCTTCAATAACACTATACCTTATAATTATCATCGCATATATATCATATATTTAAGTAAACATATATTTACAATAATTAATGAATTAGGATTGGTTATCATAATATAATCGAGTGAAGGGGGCGGGCGTAGGAGAGTTGGTGGCGGGGTGCCGGCAGCAAGGCGGCCACACGTCGCCCAGGTCCTCCAGGAGACAGTCATCCTCCTCTCCTGTCTTCTCTTCCTCAATATACATTTACCACCATGGCGGAGCATAATTTGGGCTGCGGCCCTCTCACCATCAAGTATCTAGTGTTCATCTTCAACTTCGTGTTCTTCGTGAGTCTCTAATTGCCGCTGTTAGGGCAGAAAACGTGACGTCATTCGCAGTGTTTTATCAGGAGGCGGAAGTTTTGTGGGTTATGGCGCATTTGGTCTGGTTATGGCGTCTTAAGGGGGCAGGAGAGGGTATTAATGGTGGCGGGTGATGGTTGGCATTGTAGGGGATTGTAGGGGTTGATGTGAGCTGGTAAACAGTCTCGGCCTATGGCGGCCTATGGGGGTCTATGGTTTATTTTGGTTTTTCTTCTCCGTGCTTACAGGTTGAATTAATATCCATTTTAAACATGTATAGATAGTAAATATATACACGTGCGTGTGTGTGTGTGTTCGGGGGACTTTAATCTTATACATTACTCTAAAACATGATTGGTTCCGAGGACGAGGTGTAGCCCAATAGGCCTCTGTGCCCAGGCCTATTGGGCCATGGGTGGGGCAGATTTTGTCTCTTTATACTTAACGGGAGGAGTTTCACTTGTTGTGCACCCCATACCCATCCCGTGGGTGGTGGTGGAAGGGGTTAGAGGGGCACGTAACAGGTTCAGGAACGGAGCTCCACTGTTCCTCTAGCTAAGCCGGTGAAAATCTTGTGAAGGGAGTTACACAAGAGTTAATAGTACAGGTATATGTGTATATATATACATAATGTGTGTATATCACAAAAATAAACACGTGATTAAAAATGTGAGTGTCAGACCACGGAGGAAAGTTGAAACAGGAATTTCCTTAAGTACTTTCGTATATTAATACATCTTCAGAAGGAGTGACTCCTTCTGAAGATGTATTAATATACGAAAGTACTTAAGGAAATTCCTGTTTCAATTTTCCTCCGTGGTCTGACACTGTCATATATACATAATGTTTACATATATTGTGCATATAGTTTTTATATCAAGTGATTAAAGAAGCGTCCAGTAAGTGTTAAACATTTTATGTCCCGTGATGAGTCTGTTAATTAGTCTTGTTCTGCACCCACCCAACTAGGCGGCAACTTTAATGGTGTCTGAGGCCTGGTCGAGGACCGGGCCGCAGGGACGCTAAGCCCCGAAATCATCTCGAGATAACCTCAAGATAACGACGCTGTTTGTCGACCTAATTGTATTTGTGCTGCTTTTTCAGCCATGTTCTCCCCTTTTTATCTTTTTTTTTATTTGTTCTCGACTCATTTTATTCTTTATGCTCAATTAGTATTAAGCTTTAGTCATTTAAGTTTTTCATGCCCGAAACGTTTTGCATAATAGTGGCTTTAGGCACTGTATGTACTAGCCCTATCTATAAATCCATCATTCTTTGTAAAATCTCTTGAATGTATGTACCTTACCTAAATAAACATTTATTTATTTGTGTGTGCAGGCTGCACCTACTGTAAGCCTAGGAGTCATAATATCTAGAAGTCCTGCTAATCTTATTGGCTCCTTAGATGTGGGGTTCATCTTGCATGATAGAAGATGAAGGAATTGGTGTTGCCGCAGGTCTAAATTTTCTTGTTCTTGAAATAATATTTCCTTCCCAACCCCAGGCTGCTCAAGGGCAATAAATGATTACAATAAAAGCCTTTATTACGAGTAAGATTTATCATGCATTCAGAAACCAATACGGGAAGGAATACACAAGATAGTCGACTCTATCATTATGTCTGTGCCTAGCTTCAGACACAAGCATGTCTGTTACGCCTTTGGAAGTAAAGTGCAATAAAGGATAAGGCAAAGGATAACAGTTCACACGTTACAATTAACGTGTGAACTTTGGTTGGATTCGTATGCAATTTGAGCTCAAAGATTGTAAATAAATTTTTTTAGACTAGCAAAGGCAGTTCTTTACGTGCTCCACACTCTTATGAATAGGAGCCATCTCCAGCTGTCTCGACTGGTCTTCCAGCTGCACCATAGGACTGGTGCAAGGAGTCCTCAATGTCAATAATTTGGGAGAAGGCGCACTCTTTAACCAGAGCATCAATTTTGCTTGATGCAATGTAATTTGCTTCTTGTCAAAGGAAGGGATGTTCTTTAAGTCATTTTGGGTGGACAGTAATTTGGAAAGGGGTTCTTCCATGGAGTAGGAAAGTTACTGTTTTCTTTAGGTAGAGATGAACATTATACATTCAGGATACAGTAGCAGTTTTCCACTTGGGGGATTGTGACTTTCGAGAAGGCTTGGGTGCAGGGATTGGGGTGGGTTAGCCTAAGCATCTAGATACCAATAAAGGCATTCAACAATGTTCCCCCCTCTTTTACCCCTATTTTTATTTGTTCTCAACACATTTTTTTCTTTTTACCCATTAGTTTTAAGCTTTAGTCATTAAGTTTTTCCTGCCCGAAATGCTTTGCGTAATAGTGGCTTTAGGCATTGTATGTACTAGCTCTATCTATAAAGCCAACAAACTTTGTAAAATCTCTATGTACCTTACCTAAATAAAAATTATTATTATTATTATTATTAATTTCAGTAATACTTGCACAGGGGATACTTGCTTCCTTCCTTATAAGTAATTTAATTGTACTGAGGCATCTGAGGATAATCCTCATAGCTTTGTTTTGCTCTTTGTCCAGCTCTCTAAGCGTGCACTCGGGCACCAGAGAAAACATGGATCCAACATAATTGATCAGACCTAATTCATGAGAAAAATCTTTTGGCAATTCTCAAATCTTCTACAGCTGGGTGATAATCTGCCACAGCCTTGAAAGAAGCTTCTTCAATGTCCAAAGAGTTTGGGAAAGTTGGGGGGACGGGAGAGAAGGATGAGGAGTAGAAATTCTCGAAGGGAATGTGGATGGAGGATGAAGAGGCTAAAAAAATTGGTGGCTTATCAGATTGGCGTCGAGTGTTTTTCTTGGTTATTGATCTTGGCTTTGTTTGGATGGTGGGAGGCGGCTTGGTGGACTTGAGGTGAGGTGGAGAGTCGCGTTGGGTGAAGATGCCTCGGTCTTGGTTCTTCATGACTACTGTACTTCATTCTTGGTTCTTCTGCTGCAGGTGGATGTTTTCCTGTGTTCTAAGTCTTGTTACACTTCTTGGGCTAATGTTTCTTCTTGCTTCCGGTTGACATGGCCATGCTGTCGTTAGTTTGGCGAGGCCTCCACAAGGAATTCTTGTACGGAGAATTCTTCTTGGCTTCGTGGTTGGTCACTTGCCTTTGACATAGCTGAGGAATGCACCAGAAAACATTGCAGTTTGATTTTTTTTTCTACATTCAGGTCTTTGTCAAGTGCTTGGCCATGATCCATTGGTTGATTTCGCTAATAAAGACCGATCTTGCACCAGGAATGGACGTGGGAAGTTGGTATTGAGGTGCAAATCACGGATTTCACTTCAGTGTTCTAGTAGTTTTTGAAGGTCTTCCTAGCTTGAAGTAGAGTACAATATCCAATGTCTCCCTCGTGTCAATGTTGATGGGTGTAACGCCGGCAACATCTTTTAAGAACCTTCAGGAAGTCGCTCTTGTTGAATGCATTGTCGAGAGGGTAGTCTAGACTTTGAAGCATGTGACGCTTTGTAGCCACCCCTCAATGGGTCGTTTTGGTGGGCAGGCAGCGAAGTCTAGCAGAGTGCATTGTGTGCTCCCAACGCATGCAGAGTTTTCTTGGCCATGAAGGTTTTCTTTACATGGACAACCCAATCTAGCTACAAAATGGTGGTACTGTGGAAGCTCGAGACAAATATTTGCATCTGGTTACATAATTGCCGGTCATTTGGCTGCATCTGGTGGACAGGCAACCCTGACTGGGTGGACGTCGGTTCAGGATCTTTTTTGACTTATGATTAGGCCTAGTTTCATGTGAATGTTTGATAGTTAAGAACATTTTTCAGTCACGTTATTGTGACTTCAACTGCAATTATTCTCATTATAATTCTGGTTACATGGCCTGGATGATAATTGGCAATTCTAAGACCTGTTTGATAGTACATGTGAGTTCGTAGTTAGTTTTCAAAGCAATTGTACCACACACGTGCAGCAGGAAAATTGTCGTTGATTGATGGGCACAGTCGACCTCTTCGGTTTAAACATTCCGCTGGGGAAGATGGCTTCCAGTGCTTAGTGGCTAATATGGATAGATGCTCAGAAACCATGTCACTGGAGCAATAATGTTGTCACATGGGAAATGTGAATTTATAAACATTTATAATATAATTTTGTCCAAAAATACTTTGGAAGTCATTAATTAGTGTTGAAATTGAGAGCCACTAATTATTCAGCATTTCAGGCTTGAACAATCTGATTTCTGAACCACTTTTTACTCTGGTATTTTTAATTAAAATTTGTCCATTTTGTATCATGTTTATACTTGAGACTATTAATTTTCCTTTTTATACCCTATCTTCCATTTATATGCTTTTACCTCGTCACCCCCTGGCTTTACCTTTGTGCAGGAATGTGGTCCGAGGGTTCAGGTGCCCTTCAAAACATTTGTGTACACAACATTCACAAATCTAAATGTTTAGAAATGCTTAGTGTAATATGTAATGCATAAATAGGTCTTAAGTTTTGGGAGCATGGGAATATATTTCAAGAAATCAATGAGGCTGAGTAAAACTATTCCAAGCATATACAAGGTGACCTTTCTGTCCAGGACAGATTTACTAGTTTAAGTGTGGGACAGGTATTTATTATGTCCAAAATTTGCAGGAATATCCATCTCTTGTTTAATAATTATTTTGTTTTTCACCTCCAGCTGACTGGTTTGGTTTTGATTGTGATGGGGGGCATAGCACAAGGTTTCTTCAGCTCGTACATGGACTTCTTTGGTGGAAAATATGAAACCCCAGCCATTGGCCTCATTATTTTGGGATCGATCATTCTTGTCATCTCCTTCTTTGGATGCTGTGGGGCAAAGAAGGAAAATGTGTACATGCTGAGAATAGTAAGTGTTCTAAGGTTGCTTAGTATTTAGTCGTTGAGTAATGTTGGTTATTGCGTTTATTGCAGATTTTTGTAATTTTATGCATGCTGTATCTGTTGAATTTGTATGTGTAACCCAAATACTGTAATAAAATGGCAATATTTGAATTTCCTCTAATTGTCATACTTTAATAGGATTTATTACTTTGTTAATTAGTTTTTGTAAAGCAGAGTTTAACTGGTCCTTGGCTACTTGCAATTGAAAGACATCTTTGACATATCGATTACAATAAAACTTTGCATGTAAAATGTTTATCAACGATCATTTGAAATGGGGAATTGCCAGTTTTAAATTTAGTTGCTAATGCAGTACACCTTTTTAAATGCTTGTATATTGTTCATGATGCAGGAGAAATTGTGATCAGTATTTTCAGTGCTTGTTAAAAATAAAACCGGCTCATAGTGTAGTTAATTCATTATACACTCCATACCCATCCTTATGGAGTGGGGGAAAAAGCCAGAGGCACATACTGGGCTCTAGAACTGAACCCCCAAAATTTGTTTGGCCAAGTCTTGATAAAAGTTTAATGAATTGCTATACAGTATTAAATTAATAATGGGTTAAAGACTGAGGAATATTCTAGTTTGGTCATTTGTGTAGGACAGCATGGTGGCAAAATAGTTATTGTACCGTAGAAAGATCGGAGGTAAAAAGATGGTTAATAATTGTAAGAGTAATGCTGGCGGGTTTATTCTTGACCAATCAAAATTGGTGCCATGGAAGATATATGGAAACATTTAATGGCAACAAGCATTTTCATCTGTAAATTCCCAAATTTCCGCTGAAGGCCTTTCTCATAAACTGATGTTAGCATTTTGGAGAAAATATCTATAGGGTTTGAATCTTGGAGAAGCCAATTTTTTTTATAGCTGCCAATATTAAACCTAGACAGGAAAAGATTGATATTTGCATTTAAAATTCCATCTTTCAAATTGGGGAAAAAAGTGCATAAAGTTAGATGTTAAGATTTGATTGATGAAAATAAAGCCACCACAAGAGGTGGCACAGGCATGATTAGTCTGTAGGTGTTAAGAGGTAAATCTTTTATACAACCAGTGAGCAAGATCAGTTGATTTTGCCCTTTAATGTTGTGGTTGTGTGTAATTACCTGAAGTGTAGTTACAGGATGAGAGCTACGCTCGTGGTGTCCCGTCTTCCCACCACTCTTGTCATATAACGCTTTGTGTATATAAAGTGTGTGTATTAAACATTCTTTAAATATTTTTGATACAGTATTGTATAAAAAAAATCAAAGTAACATGATGCTGTGCCATAGGTGTTTCCAATGCATTGTGATAAGTGTTAATAGACGAATTTATTGATGGCAAAATTAAGCTGCATAGTTTTCTACATTCTCCTTAAATGAGAAGACAGCATTGTGATCCCTTAAAGATCCATGCCTCCAAGCAGAGATATTCTACATCACACCACTGAAATGGATTTCAAAGATGGAATAAAATTGGTTCACTGTAGTGAACAGCAAGTGTGTTAGACCAGAGTTACTTTATTTATTTTTGAAGCTTGTTATTACACTTGTTAATTACTAATGTTTATTATCCTATTTTAACAGTTTGCTTTCCTGATGGTGGTTGTCCTTTTGCTGGAGTTTGCCGCTGCTATCACTGTTGCCGTACTGCGACCAGATATTGAAAAGCTAGTCAAGGCGAACATGAATAAGACAATGAATGGCTATGGAGATAAAAAGAGCCTTGTAACGAAGACTTGGGATGATCTACAGCAGAATGTAAATATAGTTCTGTAATTTTGTTTAAGATTTTTTGTTTTGTTTTGGGTTGTTTCATTCCACATGTTGATTTTTATCTCAATTTTATAATTTTTAAACTGAAATTAATCTTTTTTGTCTTCAGTACCACTGCTGTGGAACCACAAACTTCACAGACTGGGAAGAGACAAGTTACGGCAGAAATGTGACTATCCTGGGCGTACCCGACTCTTGCTGTAAGAACGTTGCTGAAGGCTGTGGTCACAATATTTTTAACTTGACCAAACCTGATGAGGAAATCTACACTGAAGGCTGCTTCTTTGCTCTAACGAATTCTGCTCGTGCCAACCTTGGAGCGATCATTGGAAGCATAGTCATTATAGCTCTACTTCAGGCAAGTTTTATTTTTTTATTTTTTTCTGGCAGGATGTGAGTAGAGAAGAGAGGTGGCTAAATAAGGTTTGTGAAAGGGCATTATTTCAGGTTGCAGGGTTATCTTGAGATGATTTCGGGGCTTTAGTGTCCCCGTGGCCCGGTCCTCGACCAGGCCTCCACCCCCAGGAAGCAGCCCGTGACAGCTGACTAACACCCAGGTACCTATTTTACTGCTAGGTAACAGGGGCATAGGATGAAAGAAACTGCCCATTGTTTCTCGCCGGCGCCTGGGATCGAACCCAGGACCACAGGATCACAAGTTCAGTGTGCTGTCCGCTCGGCCGACCGGCTCCCTTCAAGGGTACAAGAAACCTGTACTTATGATCTGGGTATCCCTAGGCTAACTGGACAGTAGTAACCATCTCGCTTCATGCAGATCAGTGTTCAATTCCTGACTGTCATTGTTAGGACACCAATCCTTCCACCCTGTCCCATCCCTTGTCCTAATCCCTTCAAAGTTGACCAATCCACACACTAGAAAATGAAGGGACGACGACATTTTGGTCCATCCTGAACCATTCTCAAGTCGACTGAGAATGGTCCAGGATGGACCATTCCATACTTCACCCAGAACGGAAGGGTGAAGTAATACCCTTCAAAGTATTACTTGTAATAGCGTGGCGCTTTCTCCTGATGGTTCTCTCCCTTTCCATAGGTCAACCGATATTCCACAGGGAGCAACTAAAAAATTGCCTAATGCTTGCGGTACTAATTTTGCTGCTAGGTAAACTAGAGGCATCGGGTGGAGAAAAAATTGCTCGCCTGTTTGTCCTGCCTAGGAATTGAACCTGCCTCCCTAGATTGAACATAAACCACTGCTACAGATCCATTGACGTAAAGCAAAATGTGTTCTGGAGTAAACTTGGAGAAGCTGAAAGAGGAGAAATGATACCACTGGATATGAATAATGTATTAGGCATGGAATAACTTTTTTTTATATAATTATAGCTTCGTGCTGTGATATTAAATGACCAGTGGCGCTTCTACTACGCATAAGTTTGCTTTAGGTATTTCGCAAACTTTTCAAACACTGGTATATTGTTCCTAATTAGTACTTGTGGCTTCTAGTAAATGTCTAGAAAAGTGACTTGTGAGTTTGGGGGTCATTGGTCGTATGCTCAGGGTATGGTTTTCTAACATTACAGGAAGACTGTACCATTATTGCATGCATGCATGCATGCAGATGATGCCTCTTGCACTGTGCAAGGGTTACAAAGGTTGAGCATGGGGTTGAAACATAAGCCATTTCATCCTAATGTATTCATTATGTATTCAAAGGGAGCCGGTCGGCCGAGCGGACAGCACGCTGGACTTGTGATCTTGTGGTACCGGGTTCAATCCCGGGCGCCGGCGAGAAACAATGGGCAGAGTTTTTCACCCTATGTCCCTGTTACCTAGCAGTAAAATAGGTACCTGGGTGTTAGTCAGCTGTCACAGGCTGCTTCCTGGGGGTGGATGCCTGGTCGAGGACCAGGCCGCGGGGACACTAAAGCCCCGAAATCGTCTCAAGATAACCATCAAGATCAAGATATGAAAATTGAGAGGGTAGTTAAGCATGTTTATAGGGTCAGTGCTGTTCAAAATCGGGGAAGTGGTGGCGATATTTCCCAATCTTTGAATCGGTCCATAGGGAAATGGCGCCACTCCAGGCCTTTCCCTCCTATCGGAGGCTAATGTAGTAATTACTTCAACTGGGGGAAAAGGTGTGGGAAGCCAGGTTATTTTTTTAATTTAAAGGCATTTTTTCTAAATTTTCCTGTAATGTTTTCATTTTTTATAAAGCTGCTTATTAACACTTGTTCTGCAGGTCTACCCGAAGCCATTCTAAAAATCGGTCGAACGCCTGTGGTGGCTTTTGCCCTAAGTTTGCTAATTACATTGGTACAGTATGTAGCAGACAGATGTTGATTAACATTTATATAGTCTGAATGACAAGTGATCATTGAATACATATAAATACAGTATATAAGGTGTTGGATGAATTTAGAATGTTGGTGAATGTAGAGATAGTGTAAAAGAAAATGTTAACTTTCCTGCCTTTATGCATCACCAATTTATGTAGTTGGCAACAGGTGCTATTGTTAGTGCTGTCCCAGCTTCACGAAAAGTTAGAATAATTTTTCTCCTTGGTATTATCATGAAGTTTTTTTAGTATGGATAATTCGTGAAATTAGTGTGAAACCTAATGAACAAATCCACAAGGGCCGTGACGAGGATTCGAACCTGCGTCCGGGACCATCCCAGACACTGCCTTAATCGACTGAGCTACGACAGGGTAAAAGAGTTGAAACCGAAGTTCTACTGAACTTACTGGATCCCGTAGCCTCTCCGAGGCACAAACCAGTAACATGTTCGTTTAATGCTTTCATGGTCTAAAGGATGTTGGGTTTGAGAGCCATAAAATACTATAGTTTTTCTTTATAATCACACTTTTTGGCATGGTTTAGACCTGATGGGTAACAATAACTAGTGAAATTTTACGAATTTTAATTTTTTTTTTCTTAAGCAATACTTAAATTTAACTAAAAGTTACATCGCAGGTTGTTGGTGTGTGGATGTCCTGTTGCCTCATCAGAGCAGTGAAGGAGCGATACGAGATCTTATAAATCAGGGCTGTGAATTGCTTCCTGGTGAAGAGGGACTTCTGAAGGGAATTTGAGCAGCATTTGAATTGCAAGAGGAAGCTGGTCACAAATTTGTTTTTGCCCTTGTAATTGTTTTTTTATCATTTGTAGCCAGCTGTAGTGTCCGGGTTAATATGGAATGTTTTTTTTCTGGTATATATATATATGTAGTCCTGATTTTGCTTCATTGCTAAATATATTAATGGCAACATATCTAAGCCTCTTGAAGGTAATGAAGTAACTTACTATATTTTTTTTTTTTGTTGATTAAAGGAATGTGAACCTCCATTAAGCCCCACTAAGGCTACGGGAGAATATTGGTACTAATAGTACTCCCCCCCCCCCATTGAGGTAGGGTTGATTCTTTTTTTTTTTTAAAGGAACAGTATTTTTAAGTTCCCCATCAATTTTTGTTTTATACTACTTCAGTAATGAGGTGTATCATATTATCAACTAGTAAATATCTAATTTGAATACTTGTGTACTTTAGCCAAAGATCAGTTGTGTGTACTCTGCCCTTACTCAGTAAACATAATTTATAATTAACTTTTAATTACCTTGCTACTTGTATAGGTGTAACAATGGACCAAGATCATTGCTGGAGCTAAATGTGTAAATGTCATTACGAGGACGGTAATGAGCGAGATGCGTTGGAGTTTGACTTGGGATACTACAGTACATACCTTACCTTGAGGTGCTTCCGGGGCTTAGCGTCCCCGCGGCCCGGTCGTCGACCAGGCCTCCTGGTTGCCGGACTGATCAACCAGGCTGTGACTCAACTGACGTATGAGTCACAGCCTGGTTGATCAGGTATCCTTTGGAGGTGCTTATCCAGTTCTCCAGTACATGGTCAACCAGGCTTTGCCTTTTTGATAATTACTGTACGGTACTTGGAATACTTATTCTCCTTAAGTTCTCTCAATTCTCCCTAAATTTTCTTTTATTCTCCACAGCCTTGCTGTGGTTTAGGAGGATGCTTGTGTATGATGCCATGGAGATATTGTGGGTTGCCTCAGCCGTCCTCTAAAGGAATTGTGTATCATATGTGCAAAGAAGCCATGCATGGTACCTGATTGATGGATTGATGAAGATTAAGCCACCCAAAAGGTGGCACGGGCATGAATAGCCCGTAAGTGGTGGCCCTTTTAAGCCATTACCAGTATCAATAGATGATACTGGAGATCTGTGGCGGTGCGACTGCACCCTGTGTGACGGGAGATGTCTCCCTTGTGAATGTATGAAGATGAAGCCACCCAAAAGGTGGCACGGGCATGAATAGCCCGTAAGTGGAGGCCCTTTTAAGCCATCACCAGTATCAATAGATGATACTGGAGATCTGTGGAGGTGCGACTGCACCCTGCGCATGGTATCTGTATGAGTGATCATACCATCTGTCAGAGGGGTTGTTTGTGAGGGGGCAGCTCTTGGTAGGCTTGGGTGTTGGCTGAACCACAAGGAAGAAAGAGGTCTGCACCAATGTTGGAGTGTGTTCAATGCCATAAGACTTGCAAAAATAGAGCACCATTTGGCATGACTGAAGTTTCGTGTACTGGCCAAGGCTTGGCCATCTGTGCTATCCCCATAGTTGGTATATCCTGGCTCTGGGGGCCCAACATTTCGTAAAAATGAGATGCAGTAAACAAACTTCTCAAACTTGGGCACATAGGATGAGCGAGGGAGCCGAGCGGACAGCACACAGGACTTGTGGTCCTGGGTTCGATCCCAGGCGCCGGCAAGAAACGATGGGCAGAGTTTCTTTCACCCTATGCCCCTGTTACCTAGCAGTAAAATAGGTACCTGGGTGTTAGTCAGCTGTCACGGGCTGCTTCCTGGGGGTGGAGGCCTGGTCGAGGACCGGGCCGCGGGGACACTAAAGCCCCGAAATCATCTCGAGATAACCTAAAGATCTCAAGATGACCAGGTCCCATTACTGGATTGTGAAGGAAGATCTGCATAGCTCCAGCTACTGTTGGTTTAAACCTGGATTTGTCTTTGTACCGCCCTGCTGCTCCTCTCTATTCCACTCGCTTGTCAGGGACGCCTTAACATCCCCATTGGTGACAACCTCATCACTTGTGACACCTTTGGTTATTCCAACTGCACTTGCCTCCTCCTTGCTGGGGAGGAGGGGTGGGGGTGATGACTGAAGTCCTTGCAGCTGTCTAAATGACCTTTTAATCTCAATTGTTTCGTTTTTTCTTGTTCATATTGTGCATAATAATGCAAAGTTATATTTCAAATATTGTCTTTTCATATATATTGGGTAGTACAGTATTGTTATTATAGTTAACCTTTCATTTGAATGTGCTACATGGCCTGGATGGCTACCTTTTTATTTGAATGTGCCCTCAGCCGTAATCCACAATCATAATGCCTAAAGAACCAACTAAAATTTTTAACACGAGCATTGAGACCACTCTGCCACATGAGCCACAGCTTCCTCTAATATCTTCTCCCTTTACTGTCTAGCCCACTGTCGATGTGATGGGTCTTGGTGGGCTGTTGTTTGTAAAAGATTCAGCTACTCGGAACAAGTTCCAAGTAGCACGGGCTATGGTGAGCCCGTAACTCGCCTGGCACAGGAGCGGGGCAAGTAGTACGGGCTATGGTGAGCCCATAACTCGCCTGGCACAGGAGCGGGGCAAGTAGCACGGGCTATGGTGAGTCCGTAACTCACTTGGCACAGGAGCGGCGCAAGTAGTACGGGCTATGGTGAGCCCGTAACTCACTTGGCACAGGAGCGGCGCAAGTAGTACGGGCTATGGTGAGCCCATAACTCACTTGGCACAGGAGCGGCGCAAGTAGTACGGGCTATGGTGAGCCCATAACTCACTTGGCACAGGAGCTGGGCAAGTAGCACGGGCTATGGTGAGCCAGTAGTGGACTTACCCGGCACAGGAGCGGGGCAAGTAGCACGGGCTATGGTGAGCCAGTAGTGGACTTACCTGGCACATGAGCGGTGTGCTCTCTTGGTGGGTGGCGGCTTGAGTGTTGGATCAACAGGATGGCATTTCATCTGTCCTCTTAGAGCCTTCTGCTCCTGCAGCCTTAACTAATTTTGCTAGATATTCTCATGTTTCTTCCCTCCAACTTTTTTTTGGATAAAGCTTCCTGAAGACTCTGTTCCGATTTAGAACATTCTTTTGTGACTACTTCTGTTTTGACGAAAGGTAAGTTGGGAAGGCACTTTTCTGTCTCGTAGAACGTACCTGAGGTGTTAGAGCAAGGGGGGAAACTTTTGTCAAACTCTGCCTTCGTTATTGAACCCGATCTTGACTGACGGTCTGATTGCGTCATGTATATCCACGATGCACCCATGAGAAGGGCCTGTTTTGCTAGGTTCCCTAATTGTGGCTCCACGGTGGGTGTGAGGGCTTAACTGTGGATGAAATCGTATTCTTGTTCGTTCTGTACCTGTTGTTATAGATTCAGCTACTCGGTATAAGTTCCAAGTAGCACGGGCTATGGTGAGCCCGTAACTTACCTGGCACAGGAGCGGGGCAAGAAGCACGGGCTATGGTGAGCCCGTAACTTACCTGGCACAGGAGCGGGGCAAGAAGCACGGGCTATGGTTAGCCTCGTTCTGTACCTATTTCTGACCCTCCTTCAACTTCTCACTCATGGTGTAGCCGACCAGGCCCCCTGAGTCAGATTGATAGACTTACAGGCTTCGTTGGGTCCAGACTCTGCTTCTGCTTTGACTTTTGACCCTTTGTTTTCCCACCTCTGTGGCAGGGTTGAGTCCTGCAGTGTTCAAAATTGATTAGAAATGGTTTAATGTCGTTTAAAAATAATTTCTACCTGAAATTTGAGCCAAATATCCAGAGTTTAGCAACTGTCTCTCGAATTTTGATGTATAAATCAAAATGCATCACATTTTGATGTATAAATGTAATAAGGTTTCCCGAAAATGAAACCCTAAATTGTTAAAAGGTGTTGGCAAAATTGACGGTCAGTGGCTGGCCTTAGACTAACAGCCTGGATTCACTGCGTCACATCAATGGCGCTAACAAAGGTCAAACCTTCATGTGCCGCTTTCCTGGAGAGACAAGTGGCTTTACCGGGGAACTTTAAACTATTAAACGAATACCTTTCATGTGCCATTGTTCCTTGCAGCGGACTTGCAGTCGATGAGTTACAACAACGTGGCTAAAGTCTGTTGACCAGACCACACACTAGAAGGTGAAGGGACGTATTATTATTATTAGCATCTTTATCGACAAAATTAATTACAATTTTGCCTAATCTGAGGATTTTGATTTTGAATTGAGTCTTATTAAAGTGAGGATAATGCTGGTATTCAGTCACGCAGGACAGAGGGTCATACATAAGACAATGTCTAAACTGTAGGCTGAAGCGCGCATATATCATGGTTACAATCAATGGTTTAATGTATGGATATGTGAAAACAACTTTCTACTGTGCACTGCCACACAAGGGCAGGGATGGGTTCATAAGTGACGCGGCTTAGAAGGGACGACGACGTTTCGGTCTGTCCTGGACAATGGACTTGAGAATGGTCCAGGACGGACCGAAACGTCGTCGTCCCTTCACCTTCTAGTGTGTGGTCTGGTCAACATACTTGCAATGTTCTGGAACCTTTTTAACCTTTGCCATACTGTAATGATCCAACCCCAACACTGGTTGTGCCTTATCCATAGATTTAACAGTTGAGCTTTGCTGGGTTTCCAACCATATTGATGGAAATGTCCTGCTCTGTCCTATTACCAGAGCAGGACATTACCTGCAGGCAGGACTCTTGTACCTTTACTAGAGCACTGTCCCATCCTGATCTAATGTCCTGCCTGGCCCTTTATTAGAATTTCTACCCAATTATTCATAACGTAATCCGCAACCACTTTAAGAGATTGATGACTGATTGATTGATTAAGATTAAGCCACCCAAGAGGTGGCGCGGGCATGAATTTTCCGTAAGTGGTACATTTTTTTTAAGTAAATCTTTTCAGTGTTGTGAGGACGTATTTAATCAAGATGGATGGATGGCTATTACGAATTCTAATATATACTATCAAATGTGACTCGTCCAACTGACTCGACCACCGAAACAGGAAGTGGGGGGGAAACGTCTAAGGTTAGGCTTCACTGTTGTTGTTTTTAGATTCAACTACTCTGAACAAAAGTTCCAAGTAGCACGGGCTATGGTGAGCCCGTAGTGGACTTAACTGGCACAGGAGCGGGGCAAGTAGCACGGGCTATGGTGAGCCCGTAGTGGACTTAACTGGCACAGGAGCGGGGCAAGTAGCACTGGCTATGGTGAGCCCGTAGTGGACTTACCTGGCACAGGAGCGGGGCAAGTAGCACGGGCTATGGTGAGCCCGTAGTGGACTTAACTGGCACAGGAGCGGGGCAAGTAGCACGGGCTATGGTGAGCCCGTAGTGGACTTACCTGGCACAGGAGCGGGGCAAGTAGCACGGGCTATGGTGAGCCCGTAGTGGACTTACCTGGCACAGGAGCGGAACTTCGCATTAGCCTCACACTATTAACTCGCGGCCGCTTGATGGAAGAGACATGCACCTCTCT